CCCCAAAACCCCAAAACCCCAAAACCCCAAAACCCCGGGAGGGATATTTCTGATTGGATGATTTTTATATTATTTAGGGTTTAAGGGAAATATGATAAATATTTGTTCTTATTTTAGTAAATTGGGTTTTGATGTTAGGTTAATGCAAGTCTTCTATTCTTCTAATAAAATCAACTGGGATATTTCCTTCATCTGAAAGCTCATCTAAGTCCCATTTTGCTCTAAAGTTTTGTAAGAAAATAGTTATATAAATATTCTTCTCAAAGCAAATCATGCAATTAATCAGAGAAGATGCAAGAAAATAGTACTTACTGGGAATATTCCTCATCTCGAATTTTCTTCAGCATATTCCTGAATCTTTTATCAATAGGAATGGTGAAAGTCACCGAAGTTCCTTTCTTGGGCTCTGATTCCAAGTTAATTTGACCTCCAATAGCCTCTACATACTTCTTACTTACAGTGAGACCAATCCCAGTGCCATTAGGATTGATGGAGCTAGAATCAGACACCATGCTGAAGAGTTGAAATAATTGTTGCCGCTGCTCTTTAGTGATTCCTATTCCAGTGTCTTCTACTGTGAATTCAACAAGGCCTTTATTTTCCCTCTCAATGATTCGACATTTTATTGTAATATGCCCATCAAAGGTGAACTTCATGGAATTAGATATCAAGTTCAGCAATATTTGCTTGATTCTATTTTCATCTGAATTTATCTGTAATCTTGAAATATCATCAGATATTTCTAAATTAAATTCTAAGCCTTTTTGTATGCACTGCATTTCGAAGATATCATATATTTCTTTTAGGATATTTTTGACATAGAATGGACTTTTTATTAATTTAAATGTCCCAGCCTCCATTTTAGAGAGATTCAAAACATCCTCAATGAGTGTGAGTAATAGTAGGGATGAACTCTTCCCTATTTTGACAAACTTATTTACCATCTCTATGTTTAGCTCAACGTCTTCTTTCCTCCTCCCTTTGAGTTGTCTGAAATAAGGCTTTGAAATTTTATTCAGTTCACTAAATAGAGTTGAGAACAATATCAAATGAGTTAGTAATAGAATTCAGAGGAGTCCTGAACTCATGAGAAGCACTAGCAAACATGATCTTCTGGCATTTTATATTGTTCTTAGCCTCCTCTAATTTTATCACATCAGTATTATCAATAAGTACATGCATGAAGGAGTTTTCACCTTCCCATTCAACCATCAGAGTCTTCAATTTGCAAATCCTTTCGATCTGGTCTTCATTTCTTTCTTGAACAAGCATATTTCCTTGAGGATGCCAATTTATCTTGATATCTTGCTCTAGCATTGAGTCTTTCCCATCAAGTGTTTTCTGTTGCTTCCTAAGCAAGGCTGCTAAATTATTTGGAATATTTTGGTAATCCTTGACTTTATCAGAATTGTTGATAAAGGAAATATCTATGTCTTTGAGTTCATCAAGATCTTTCCTAATCTTAACAAATTTATTTGTAAATTCTTTATTTGTGAACCACTTGTTGTTAGCTTTAGAAGGCCAAATAACCACACCAAAGGGTAGTATCTGCATAATTTTTTTCATCTCTTTAATAAGTCTCTTGTTCTTCAAGATTTCTGAGTACATATTTCTTGTCTTAATTATCAATAAATAACTTGAGATAGTGTACCAGAGACAAGAGAATACCGTGCTTGAGATTACATCAGCATCCATGAAGTTATATGTTTTCCAAATGGAATATGCAAGATGAACCATTCAAAGATTATGGATCACTAAACTAGGCTTCCACTGAGTAGGCACAAGGATCATCAAGGTATGTCACATAGCTCCAATTCATATATGGTATTCACTGAGTCTGTAATAACTCTTCTGTATTGTTAATTGTGTAACTAAATAAATACATAAACCAATCATGATTGGAACGAAATAGCAGACATAAATTGGTTTAATTCTTAATGTGATCAGAGCAGCTACCATCATAAAACAGAAAATAATGCAGTTGAGGCATGTCTGCCACTTGGTCTCTCTATTCACATCAGATAAGTCTATACCAATTACACTAAATCCTTACCTGGGTAACTAAGGATGACTGTCAGAGTGCAAAGAACGATATTTAGCCAACAAACAATCCTAATGTACTTAGTATATTTCTTCTCAATAGTCTCTTCAATGACTTCACTAATATAACTATCAACTTCTTCACTGTATCCAGATAGGTTGTTGTAAGAATCCATGCATGTTTTGAATAAGTTGGTGAATTGTTCTTTCTTTCTAATGAAAAATTCTGAAAATAAGTCTGTAGTGTTTTCTATAGAAAATTTTAGCATGACTTATAAAGAACTTATAGATAGTCTAAGTGGTTATTAAGAACGAGAATTTTAACTTATAACATATTTTTACCGGTATTTTGAAATAATAAAATTTGAAAATTATTCATAATATTAATGTAATTAATGATTCTTTGACAATGTAAATTAAAAATATGAGAGAAAAAAGAATTCCATAACATTAAAAATATAATATTCCAATAAGCTATAAATTCCCCAATTATTACAAACAACTCATCTATAAAAATCATACTCAAAAATACTATTCACTCAACTTCTATAACCCCCTCCCAAAATCCTCCCAAATTCCAAAATTCCCAAATTCCCCAATCTCCCTCTCCTATTTCTCCCATACACCCCTTCCTCCCCCTCCCCCTCCTCCCTACTCAACCTACCTCCTCCTTCTTGAGCGGCCTCGGCTGACATATTTCGTAATAAATTATAATCTTTAAGGGAATAACCTGTTTTAGGGGTTTTGGGGTTTTGGGGTTTTGGGGTTTTGGGG